GCTAATTCTTTGCTAATATATATATATATTTTGCCGGTATATAAGCGTAAACATATTACTAACCTTAAAAATATAAATCATTTATAAGTGTTAAATATCATAAATGTTATACTTACGGTTTATTCATGATAACTGTTTATTCACTCGCACAATCATGATGCAAAATATATAAAGATTTTTTTTCACTTTTTTAAGGCACTTTGAGATGCTACTTTCGTTGTTCGAGCCGTATATTTACACTGAAACGACGTACTTTGACACGAATAACAATAAATTGCGCGAAAGACATTGCGCATGCGCAATTCATCATGCAAGTCATATTCTTATCATGATAATATCATTTTTGCTAAAAAGAATTTTTATATCCATCATATTTAAGTCCTAACATACAATTATGAATATCGAAAATAATCTAAGTTCAAATTATCGTGAACGAAGCCAAATACGAGGCTAAATTTCAAAATCATAATTTGATCAATTTTCTGTCATGATCAAAATATGACTTTTAATAGTCATTATGATGTCATTTTGATAGTATTGTGATTTTCTGTTCTCCTTGGGCAAGCACATCTTCTTGCGCTCTCCCTTTAATGTCTACTTTTTCAGACTCAATACCATCAACGTCGACCGTAGATGTTTCATCTTCTAGAACTCTTCCAAATTCGATTTCACTTTCTGCTTTAATTCATACTGATACCAATGTTGACGATACTGATATAAATGTTTCTCGATTAGTTCAAATCGATCAATTTGAAGATCCAGGTCTTTGGCCTGATATAATTTCTCACGATTTCTTGACTCAGATGATTGATCATGGTATTCCCAATCAAATTATAGATTTTAACTTTCCATTAGATTCAAATAATAGATGTTTTTCAACAACTTTATATACTCGTATAATGGCTAACGGTGAAAAATTACTCAGAAATTGGTTAATTTATTCAAAATCTAAAAATGCTGTTTTTTGTTTTCTCTTGTTCTTTATATAAACGAAATGAAAATAAATTTTCAAGTCCCTGTGGCTATTCTGATTGGTCGAATATACATCGTGTCGTTAAAGATCATGAGCAAACCAAGAAACATCTTGAAACTTTTAAATCTTGGCAACTCTTCGCTAATCGAATGACCTCTCAGCACACTATAAACTTTCATAATGAAAAAAGTTTTTAAATATTGAACAAACACATTGGAGGAATGTCTTTAAACGATTAATTCTAATTGTTAAATATCTTGCTCAACAAAATTTAGCTTTTCGAGGTAAATCTAATTCTTTATATACCCCAAATAATGGTAATTTCTTGCAACTTGTGCAGACAATAGCCGAATTTGACTCAGTCATGGCTGAACACTTGCGTCGATTTTTAGAAAAAAAGAAGGACATCATTATTTAAGTAATACTATTCAAAATGAGCTATTATCATCTATGTCTAAATTAATTTCCGATTCAATAATTTCTTCAATTAATTCAAGTAAATATTTTGCGATTATTGCGGATTCAACACCAGATATTTCTCATCAGGAGCAATTAACAATAGTAGTGCGTTTTGTTTCATATAAAAATAATCAATTTAAAATTCATGAACACTTTCTTGGTTTTATTAAAGAAAATAATAAAACAGGTGCAGCCATTGCAAGTGCTATTTTAGAATTTCTATTAACGAATAATTTAGATATACAAAATCTGAGAGGTCAAGGTTATGATAACGGTTCAAATATGAAAGGAAAAAAAATGGAGTACAACAACATATTTTAAATAAGAATCCTTTAGCCTTTTTTGTTCCTTGCGCATGCCACTCTTTAAATTTAATAGTAAATGATGCAGCTGATGCATCATTAGAATCGTTTTCATTTTTTTCATTGATACAAGAAATTTATAACTTTTTTTCCCGACCTACAAATCGATGGGATAATTTTAAAAAAACATTTCGGAAATTCAGACAGTTATGGTTTAACACCAAAAAATGTATCAGCTACACGATGGTCATCGCGTGTGAATGCAGTAAAAAGCTTTGCGTAATAATTTACCAATTATTTATGACAGTCTTTTAGAGATTTTTGAAAATACAGATGATAAAACTATAAAGAATACAGCTCATAGTATTGCCGAAAAAATTTCAAATTATAAATTTATATTATCTGTGCTTTGCTGGTATGATATTTTACAAAGAATCAATATTGTGTCAAAATCTTTACAGTCGCATCAAATTAATATACCGCAATGCTTATCTTTAATTGAAAATGTAACTGAGTTTTTAAGAGACTACCGTGAAAATGGTTTTATAAATATTGAAACCAATGCCAAAGATCTTGCAGCTCAAATGAACGTTTCTCCAGAATTTCCATCCGTATCGCAATTTCAATTAAGAAAACGGACACAATTTAGTAATAAAAATGAAGTAATTGCAGATGCCAGACAGAAATTTAAAGTAGAATTTTTTAATTATATTATTGACGTAGCTCTAAATTCGTTAGAAGAACGATTTGAGCAGCTTAACTACCATAATCATGCTTTCAAATTTCTGTATGACATAAATACTTCCGATGTTACATTAAATCAATGCAAAACTTTAGAATTAAAACTTTACAACAAAAACACAAATTGTTCTGATATAAATGCCATTGAACTTTTTGATGAGATAAATTTATATAAAACAACATTTTCAGATGTACAACAAAACATTTTGCAATCGCCAATTGATATTTTAAATAAAATAGCTCAAAATGGCTTTCTGGAAATATTTCCGAATTTAACAATAGCATTTCGGATATTACTAACTATGCCAATATCTGTGGCAACTGGTGAGGCCAGTTTTTCAAAATTAAAATTAATAAAAAATTATTTGAGAAGTACAATGACGCAAACACGGTTATCCGATTTAGCAATCATATCAATTGAAAAGGAAGTGGCCAATAATCTCAATTATAAGGACATTATAGAAATATTCGCAAGGGCTAAGGCCAGAAAACATAATTTTTAAATTCTTTTATTATTATTATTCATATATATAAATTTAAAAATATAAAAAATATAAAAATAAAAATTATAAAAAATATAATATAATATAAAAATAATAAAAAAATATCAAAAAATATAAAAAAGCAAAAAAAACGGAACCGTTATCCTACTACGTCCTCGTCGTGGTTCTGGGTAGCGCTAAAAGTAGGAATTTTAGAAACCTTTTCTTTTTGCCTCGCGCTTGGGGCGCGCAAGCCTCTTTCAGCGTAGGGGCGCTTAGGACGGTCGCAACGCCCCCGCACACATGCATACGCATCACACATATACCACACACATTATGTGCAAAATTCGACCGAGCAATCTCCCCGTGGTGCTCATTGAGTAACGCGAATACCGATATTATCTAAAACCTTGCAAAATGCAGGGATAACTTTGAAACCCGATAACTCAGCTCCTAGGCATGGTAAAACAATGTTTCTTTAACCATTCTAAAAAAGTAGTTTCCGACTTCAAAACCTATGTGGGAACATTTTTCGCCTTGTTTTTCCTGTGGAAGGTCACAAAGTCAGAAAATATCCAGGCTTTTTGCACGATCTAATTTGAATCATTAAAAAAATAATAGTTTGATGAGATGAATAGTATCACCATACCCACCTTAAAGTCGAGGTTTCACCCTTTAAAACGCACCCAAAAAATTGTCTTACGATCCTCCAAAGCTAAAATACAGTCTTTTGAAAATCAGCATAATTCGCAAGTTTTAAAGCGCTCCTCTAATTGTTTGATCCAGTATTTAAAATTAGCACGCACCCCCGTATGTGCACGCACAAAAATAAGATATGTAATGTGTCATATATTTATATTTATATAACGTAAAAATTTTTTTTAATTAATACTAAAAAAAAGTCAATAATGGATAATCAACGCACAAGTTTTTGTGCAGATAAATCAAATAAAAATGTAATTAATGTATAAATAAATAACACAGATCTGCGAGGTTTCGTTATTTGAGAATTATAGGTGGTTTCCTATGTAATTTTTTGCGCTGAATATGAATCTGGCCGCAGAAATTGTCTATCACGTCAGGTTTGAAGTAAATGAAGTAAAATGGTCCAAAAATGACGATTTTGGCTATATTTATGAAAGTATTACAGAGAAAGCAAATTATTTCCTATATTTTAACCGATGGCTTCATATAATACTATAGTATCCTTCTTCTTCAATCAATCAATTTTTATTTGCCAACGTGCGATTTTCTCGCCGAGATATACCAGTTAGAAGTTATGAACTTTTAAAATTTTAGATAATTATCTAAAATTTAAAAGGGGTCTGTCCTATTGGATCTGCCATTTTGGATTTCGTAAATTTAACACCAGATTTAAAATCAGAAATTCCAAAACTGTTTGAAATATATTCAATTTTTACCTGTACTAGTGCCCAATTCCTTCAGTCTATTAAAGGGCTATACTCCTATGCTTTCAAAACCATCTATAATTCTCAAACAACTTTTAACACCCTCATCGCGCAGGCCTGTGTAATTTGGAATATAAATACATAGTACGTTCAATACTTAATCAATCAAATTGAGTAGTATATTTTACTACACAGCCAACGATGAGAGAAGTAAGATATGCACAATAGCATAATAACATCTTACATAACATAATAGCATCTTACACTTAGCATATTTTATAAAATTAAAATATATACAAATGTCTTTTGAGTATTTCGCTCAAGAAGCTTCGAACAATGTAATGTAATCATTATCAACAATATTAAATACACTTTTCACACATAATTGTTTTATTTTGTTCTTAATTTTTATGTATTACATCGTTCAAGAAATACAACTTACATATAATCTCTCTGAATATAATTGTCAGCTATCGCACAGGGCATAAAGAATAAAAGACATATGTTTTGATTATATCACAATAAAATGTACATAAATACATGGTAGAACTTAAATATATTAAAATTTTTCATAATATACAAGGTGTCCCGTAATTTGCACATCAAAACATTATAACATGAAAGTTCTTCAAAAACGAAATAAAAAAGTTCTTTATGACTTTTCAATCCAAGCAACAATATTTGAAATATAAGTGTTTAAAATTGGGCAATCAAGCTCTATGGTTAAGCGGTCGCTTATCCGTGAGTCACTAATACTGTCATACGCACAATTTAAGGAATAAACGACTGTTTAACTGTACAGTCTAATATTGACCAGTTTTAATATATTTTAAAAACTATTTCTTGGATTGAAGAATCATAAAGAACTGTTTTATTTTGTTTTTTGAGAATAAACTTTCATGTTATAATATTTTTATTCGCGAATTAGAGGACATTCTGTATGTTTCGAGCGCCGCTGGAAAACATAATCTTGCGGTACATAACATTCGTCACATGTAAATAATGTAATTACTGTAACGTCTTTTCCAATAAATCAAATGCATTTTTAGTTAATATTACAATTACTTTATACTTGCCCATGACTATTACAACTTAAGTATATTTTACATAGCTATATCTATAAAAGTGAAGTATATCTATATATGAATCTTTCTTTTATTGTTTTAAGAATAGATAAATGCAGAAAATAATAATTTGAATTATTTAAATGTTCTAAAGAGAGAGTGTATTCATACTTTTATACCAAATACATGTATGTTAAATATAAGAGAAATGATTTCAAAAAATAATTTCTATATATATGTCATAGAATGAAATGCAAATAACATATATGACAACTGTCTTACATATTGAATGATACTGGTTCCAATTAACTTCTTTTATAGTTGTAGTTACGTATGTTCGACAATAGACTGATATTACAACAAAATTCTATTGGGGTTGTCTTAGCTGAAAATAAAAATATGAGAAAATACAATTAAAAGGGAAAAAATCAATAAGTGTAAATCAATAAATTGCAATTCTTATATAGGGTGTTCCAAGAGAAGTTGCTGAAACTTATAACTAATAAGCTGTCATTTTTAAACGCACAGAGAATAAGAAAAGTATAATATATTCTAACAGAAGACATTTTGTAGTTTTATTTACATATAAACTAAAGACAATCAGAAATATTTTTATCATTAAATAAACGTTTATAAAAAAAATATCAAACTTTGCTAATATTAGTGGTGTATATTTTCAAAGTGCACACCGTCAAAATTATAACAAAAAAATTAAGTGGAAACTTTTAGAAACTATAAAAAACTTCATGCAACAAAAGTTACAGTTACAGTTATAGTTTCCAAAACCGACTTAATTTTTGTTATAATTCTGATAATGCAAAGTTCGAAAAATACACGAGCAGGAAGCAAAAACGACGCATGAGGCTGGATCTCTGTACCGCTGTTATTTTTCGTTATGCGACACACTGCTGATCCACCTAGATTTTACAGCCCACGATCTAGCTGCGCTATCACTTGTCAATTCTTTTTAATTAATATCTCAATTATAATTATTATTGCAAAAATTGCAAAACAGTAAAAGACTTTTCTGTTCAGTTTACCGCACTCTACCCGCACACGAGCGTTATCATGAATATACATATATATATTATATGTGGGTATGTAAATGCACCAGTGGTACACAGTAATATTATTGGAATTACATGCAACATTCTGCATAGTACAAAAATCAAATAAATGCTGAAATAATCATAAACTTCATACTAGAGAAGCATACTAACACGTGTTTTTGGTATCGTATTGTTGTATAATTTTATACATATAATTATACGTAGTATAATATAGATATAGATTTGTTTATCTTTTCCATAATTTTACATTATGACATCGTATGATAAATACCTGTTTCACATAGATTGTTGGATATTTTACAGTAAATCCACTTATTTAAGAGAAATCCCTATTCGGGAAAACAGCAGGTGCTACTAATGACCATACATAAAGACCCAAACACATCCATGAAGAAAGGATCTTTACCCACATTGAAGCAGCATTTGCGTTTAAGGTTTCCAAAGAAGAGTTTGGCCTATAAAAATATTAACACAAATAATGAATCTTGAGATAATGCGCGTAGTATAAATTAACAGCATAGTATAGATACGCACTTATACCAGTTTGTAAGAGTCATCATAACATATAAAGTAGCGAGAGCAAACATGAGATGGAAAAAACTCCAATTGTATGCCACTTTGTCTTCCTCATTATCCCAAACTTTGGCATCACTTCCATTCTCTGCATCAGGATTGCGTCCTTCTACTGTAGTATAATCTAGTTACGTTCAGGAAAAGAAATAACAAAAAAAAACTACTAAAATGCAAATAAAAGAGTTAAGCAAATATTGTTTTCTACTCGTGTGTCTCTTAACAATAATTTACTGTGAAGTGCATATATAGATGTATACATTTTATTCAGAATTTTATTATATATGAAATAATAAGTATGATAATTTATTTGTACCATCCAATATTTAATTTTAATATTGTAAAAATAACATCTTAGTTATTATAAAAACTATATTTACACATACAATGTAAATAAAAAAATTGTTTTAATATTTAACAATGAAAAATAAAAACAATTCAACACAACAAATGTAATATAAGCAAAAAAAATAAAGGCAAACACACACTAACTACTAAGTAAATCTATTGGATATTACATAATTATAAATATAAAATAAATTTCTATTGTGAGTTTTAAATTAATTAATAAATTTGCATAAATATACAAATAGAATCTATTTAATAGATCAGTGCTCGGAATTAGTCTGAACATTTCAGCCGATTTCCGTGGTATACGCCTCCTTTCCTCTCCTTACCGCGCGCGCCGCAGCCGCTAGGGCCAGCGCTGCCGAGCGTTAAGAGCGACACTATCTGATTATGAGTGGGTTCTTCTCCCTATTTATTAAAATTTAAAAATGTATTAAAATTTATTAAAATAAATTTTATTTTAAATTTATTAAGTGGAAATA